CTCTAAGTAAAACCAAGATTTCCTGCCTGATCTTTTGATTCGAGTAGATCTTTGTGGCGTTTGGGTTACCAAGGTTTTGTGTAGCTGTCAGTTTTTGGAAGTTCCGTGGCAGGTTGTCAGTTTGCTCACAGTTACCCTGGACATTTCGGTGGATTGTCTAAGGAAAAACCATGTTTCCTCTTCAAGACATTCATCTCACCTCACCAAGGCTTGTCCTTTTCAGACCATGTTGCCGTTTCAAAGTTGTGAACTGCGAGTCAGTCTGTTTGCTGCGAAGGATGCGTTCACATTCTGCACGGTCTGTTCATTCTGGCAAATCAAATTAATCCAATTTCATTTACTGATCTGTCGGAACTTAAAATTCTGTGCTAAGTCTACTGTGCTGGTTTGTGTAAAGGGGACATTTTATAACCAGTAAATAAGCTCAACCTGACGAGAATGTGAGAGAGGCTTCCGGAAACTTGCAATTGAGTTGGTCTCTCTATATTCTTGAGTTGGTCTCTCCTAGGGAAAGCAATTGTGTTAAATAATCTCACCACATATCTTACTCCATTAATCCATGCTGGAAGGAGATAAGTAAGGTATGGATGTTCGCAAACCAATGAGTGGTGGAGTTTCAGGAACTGAGGCTCCTTGAATTGTTCTCAGTCATCCGTGTTTTGGAAGGACAGAAATGAGAGCCGATTTGGGCATGAGTGAAAGGTGATATTTTCGAGCTCTTGCTGGGGGAAGCAGGGTTATGTTCTGGAGTGCTTTGACTGTGAAGAGACCAGGGGGAGGGATGTGGGGGGGGGGTGGGGGAGTGTGAAGTTTGGCAGACCAAGAGGTGAAAATGGGCTGGTTATTCATACAGACCACTTTAGGGGTCGGGCTGGGGGCGGGGGGTGTGGAAAAGGAGAGCTGGGAGGGAGTAGAACTTTGTAGATCCATTCTCTACACGGGTTTCTAAAATGTAATGTTTAATTCAGTAGAAGTCTCTTTGTAACAAGCGAAAACAGCCTGGTACACTAGCTATGAGCCTTCAGCGGGTCGATGTGTCTGTAATTGACTGAAACCTTCCATCGCCTCTTAATCTGCCCCCCTCCGATATTCTCCAGCCTCTTCTTAATAGCAGATAAAGATGTTGACCGGGCTGTTAGCATTGAGAACAATGGAGCTCTAATTAGGCCGTTTTGGTCTTGAGAGCATTATCTTAAGGCTGCGAGCGTGACGGGCAGCAGGATGCGTTGAGATAGCTGTCGCTAGGTCCGAGCCGCACCGGCAGTCGAGCGGGTCAGTGAATCGGCACAGGGGAACTCCCCAGCGCACATCTTCAATGAGCCGTGAACAGGGCCGGGGTAAGAAAAGGGAGTGAAAGACCCTACTACACAAACCCCCCCCCCAAACTCGGGCTCACACAAACTCACACCAAATCATTGGTGACCCCATTGAGCTCTTAAGCACCCCCCTCCTCCACACACCCCCGACTATGAAAAGAAAAAAAGGGTTGCCCGGGAGAGGGGGCCGTGGCCCCCGGTGGACAATGGGAGGATTGTGAGCGATCCTTGTCGAGCTGGAACGGATTCAGATTGCCCAACAGCATGTCAAACACGGCAAGAGGGGCCTGTCAGGCAGGCCGAGCAAGAGAGACGGGATTAGACTGGGAGAACGGGGATTGGGGGGGCACCGGAGGACGAGTCACTGCTGGGAGGTTAGCACAAGCGACAACTCCTTGGTAACACTGCTCAGAGCAGCAGGGGGGGCTGGTCCTTCTAAGCGGCTGTTGAGCCATGGGGGGTGGGGTGGGTGAGTTGTCAGGGAGGGGAGGGAGGGGCGTGGGCGTAGCTGAGAAAGAGGCGGAGGTTTGATCTGAAGGTGTGGGTTGGGTTTCGGCAGTTTGAGGGTGGGGGTGTGCTCTCATTGTGCCCCGAGCGCAGGCTGGTCGCGTTTCGCTCAGAGCTGCACTGCGTCCGCGGGTGGCGGCACAAGCAGACACAGCATCTCGTCCTTGTGCCAGAACCAGGGCTCCATCTCCTCACCCCCGGAGTGCTGCCGGACTTGCCGGGGTGGGGGCGGGAGGCGGGGGGCCCCTGCTCACGGGAATAATGGTGTTTATTGGCAACGCGTTCAAGTCTGTCATTAAATACTTCAAGAAGAAGAAGGGTAAGTGTGTGCATTGGGTTCTGTTACTCTTGGTTGGGTCAGGTGCGTGATCTGGGCTACGGGGTTAATCTGCGAGGTATCAGTGCTTCACCGTGCTGTACTTTTTGTGCATACCTGAGCAGGGGACTGTCCACTAGTCATCTGGAGATTTAGTAGTGAAGCTTTTACTTCCTCAACTGCCTGTCTTTCTTAGAAGGCTGTCTGCACCCTGTTTTTCTGAGAATGTCCACAGGGTAGGACAGTGTGGAAGTTTTTTGGGACAACTGAGCTCTATAAGGAACCTTTGACAGGATCCCGCTTGGCCTCACCATGTACCCACTAACTAACTGCGATTTTGGTTTAGATCATGTTGATGGATGTTTGTCCTTTTTGAAAGATCATCAGCAGTCATTGTATTCACCTCTAGGGTTTGTGCATGTTTCACAGATCAGATATCGGTATTAATTGAGTTAACGCATTACAACAGAGCACTGAGATTAGTTTTTGGGGAAGTCATTGAAGCAATTGCATTTTGTACACTGTACCTTGTTGACCTTCGATCTGACAAGAGTTGTGCAACAGGGATTCTTGTGCCTTCCCTTGCCTTGCTTTGGAACCAGAATGTGTGGGTGTGTTTGTGGGCAGTTAGTTAATTGATGCAGCCTGTGTATGGTCTTTACGGATATTAATTGGTTGAATTGAATCTCTAATTAGCCACTCTGTTTAAGTCTTGGAGACTTATGCAACTGTAGCTTTTAGGCGTCTGTAAGTTGCCTGTTCACAGTGACGATTAGATCTTCACTGAGGTAAAAGAAATTAGCAAAACCCAGCAAATCGGAATTTTGCATGGAGTAAAAATTTAATTTGCTGATGCTTTCATTTAGAATGATATACTTTTTTTAGATAGTTATAAACCAGGATGTTTCATTTTCAAATAAAAATATAAATATACTTAAAAATATACCACAGTAAAGTCCTTCCCAGTCTTCAGGTTAAAAAGTTAGATAAAAAGTGCAAGAACAATACTGACACTACAAAGTACAAAGTAAATAAATACTGCTGCTTATTGTAAGCATGGTTTAACATAGCCTGGACATTGATTATGTTGACACTCTACTTACTCTCAGAATAAAGTATAATATCCGATTATAGTTGGTAGGAATGAATTGTGAAAAGACACTCTATACATTCCTGAATTTCTTTAGGAATTTCTTGATGTTTCTCTCCCAACAGATTACAGCACAGTAAAATATGCTGGTTACTATGGACTGGTAGAAGATCCCCAGTAGGTTGCTACACACAGTGAAAGACCTTAGTCTTCTCAAAATGAATAGTCTGCCCTGTCTTCTATTGTGCAGAGTATGTTCAGAGTCCTATCTGCTACTGTCCCCCAGGTACTTGCATGACCACACCACCTCCATACCCTCCCCCTGGATGGTCTCCCTGGCATAACAGAAGTCCACCAGCAGCTCTGATGTTCAGGTTCCCACAATTCTGCCTGAGTCTCGTAGATTCCCATTCAACTCGACAATGGAGGAGTCATGAGTCTTTGTAGATGGTGCAGCTTAGAGTTGTGCTTCAATTTTATTGAGTAGAGGTTGAACAGAAAGCAAGATGGTTCAACGGGGTGCTCCTCTGTTACTGACCATCATCTCTGACACAATCTCGAAGTCGCACAGACTGTTATGTCTTTGTCAAGATAGTCAAGAATTTCCTTGAATTTGTTCTCCGGTCGAAGAGGTTGAAAGCATTAGATAAGCTGAAGGAATGTGATTGTGACCAAACTGCCCACTCTGCCTAAGTGGGAATATGGAGTTTGTTCATGCCAAAGCCTAGGAATCAGTGTGTCCTATCCCTATGTATACCTCACATGACACTGGGGTGACAGGTGACATTGGAACTATGCACTTGCAAATTGCAAAATTGACGCAAAACCTTCAGTGAACGGCCTGAGCAAACCCCCCCCCCCGCCCATACCTAATAGTTAGGCAGCAGCTCCTAGCAGGTGAGAGTTACTCCAGAGAAGCCCTTTTAGCTGATGAGTATAGCAGCCGATTCTGTGTGTTTACTTAAAGTATCGGTGCTAAGTGGACCTTCCTGGTGACGTGGCCTGGAAAGGCCATTAGCGCCAGAGACGTTGGGCTCGCGCCTTCTGTCGGCCGTTTGTGCTTCTCACTCAAGTGGCGGGAAGCTGTCGATCTGGAACTTGAGAGATTAACCTCATGCTGTGCTGATGTGACCTTCTACAGGTCCACATACCCATGGGGTGGGGGCAACAAAGGAAACTTTGGAGCAAATTGCAGAAATGGGTTTGGCAGAAGAAACTCGATATCTCTGCTGGACTTGGTGAATCTCAAACATTTGTGTTGCCCAGATTTTGATGGTGAATTCTTGAGTAGCAGTTTCACATTTTAAAATTGTTCATTACTGTACTCAGTGTTTCCTTTGCTGGAAAGGACCTTTTTCTGCACCTCATCCAAGCTCCATGAATGTTTGCAGCTCTCCGTTTAGTTGCTTTCTTGTAAAAGTGAGACAGGCTCGGTACAGTCTCCCATGAGCCTCCTTGCTCGGTACAGTCTCCCATGAGCCTCCTTGCTCGGTACAGTCTCCCATGAGCCTCCTTGCCATCGTTGAAATGGCGGCCTATC